CAACATCAGGGTCTTTTCCAGGAAGTCTTCTCTTCTCATGAGGTGGCCAAAGTATTGGAGCCTCAGCTTCACGATCTGTCCTTCCAGTGAGCACTCAGGGCTGATTTCCTTAAGAATGGAGAGGTTTGTTCTTCTTGCAGTCCATGGGACTCTCAAGAGTCTCCTCCTCCAACACCATAATTCAAAAGCATCAATTCTTCAGCGATCAGCCTTCTTTATGGTCTAGGTCTCACTTCCATACATCGCTACTGGGAAAACCATAGCTTTAACTATACAGACCTTTGTTGGCAAGGTGATGTCTCTGCTTTTTAAGATGCTGTCTAGGTTTGTCATTGCTTTTCTCCCAAGAAGCAGGCGTCTTTTAATTTCGTGACTGCTGTCACTATCCACAGTGATCATGGAGCCCAAGAAAGTAAAATCTCTCACTGCCTCCATTTCTTCCCCTTCATGGATCACTGCTTTGCCGTGGCGAAGGGGCTTGAATAACTCAGAGAAGCTATGAGCTATGCCGTGCAGGGCCACCCAAGATGGACAGGTCATAGTGGAGAGTTTTGACCAAACGTGATCCACCTGGAGCAGGAACCGGCGAGCCACTCCAGTATCCCTGTGAAGAAAACTCCATGGACAAAGACACCCTTTATGCCACACCTAATTCCTGTGTCAGTCCAAATGGCATTTGCGCACAACCTTTCTTTACAAAAGGAACACTCACTTTCTCCCCGTTCTTATTGATCTCTGGAAACATTGGCGTGTGTCATTTAATATTCTAATGAGTTGGAATTTTGGCATGGGGAGCACAAACAGGCTTTATCTATGCAGATGATGCACTGGGCCATGAACTGCCATGTATGCGTTAAAGACAGCCCAATGCATGGTGCTTCAACACTGGAAGGAGAAGTCAGTGTCTTCAATAAAGTAATGGAGTAACGATTCACATTCCCTGTCCTTATTTGAGTTGGCAATGTATCCACATGAGTGCAAAGAACAGAAATATGAGAACATTTGGTCAGCTTTTCTTGCAACTTAATGCATCACAGTTGACAGTCAAGTATACCGGTAATTGTCGAAACACCTTAACCCATGTTCCTTTCCTGTTTTGTCTTTCCCTTTTTATTTTTGCTTTGCATGTTACTGTAATTGTGTTGTTCAAAAACTGTAATAAAAATTCCCGTCTAAAGAAGTGTGGGGATATTATATGCTCTCAGTTGGAAGGGAGTGTGTGTTTTTGTTAAAAATAGTAATAATCCAGGTCTGTTACCTACAAAAGCTAAATTTAGCAACGGACTGGATAAAACGTCTTTTGCATTTCAAATAAAAGATTGCCCTGTGAGAGACTAAAGGTGATTGCATGGCAATACAGACTGAATCACTGCTAATCCTTGGCTATTCATTTTGCAAATGACAAGTCAATTAAAAAGAGAAATGTAGAAGTTTAAATTCTGTAGACTGATGATTCACTTTTATTTTCATCTGCTTTTTTTATTTGTTTCTCTGCTCACAGTGGTGGGAAGAACAAGTTGCATTGCTGGTTTGACTGCTATGAATAATAGCAAGCAGCTGTGCCCCTGTGTCTGAAGCAGATGGGGCCACACGCAGAGACGTTTTGACAAGACCTTGCCATGCCTTTTAAAAGTTCTGGAAACAAGAAACCTACGTAAGTAACCAGAAATTATAAGTGGCACAGAAAACAATAAAAGAACATTATAAATGTAGGGTGGTGGGTGGGGTTTTTTGGGGGGGGGGTCATTTTATCCCTCACTGAATTCAGAGGTCAGACAAGAAACTATGGAAGTACCAGGGAGGGGGTGAATTACAAAATCTGCTTTAATCATTGAAACCTGTGGAAAGCAATCTCACAACCTATATTTCTGTGCATATGCTCAGGAGCTTGTTCTGCTAATTGGGGAAAGACAGAAACACCTGATGTACACATTTTCTATACTGGCACTGCTGTCATTCCAATTTCCAGAATCTATATCTGACCACGAGGAAAGCCCTGAATAAATGTAACTCTAGACTAGTCAAATATTCAGTCAACATAAAACCCATCCTTTATGGCCCAGCTAGCCCACTTTCGTCTTTGCCAGGCTTTCCCAACATGATGTCATCCATATGTTGTTGACTACGGCATCTAACAGCCTTAGCTAGCACAGTGGGAATTTTAGGCTGCGTGCACAGAATACCTTTAAATCACATTCGAAGCATGTATTCCTCCTTATAGAATTATGGGCACCGTGGTATGTCAAGCATTGTTGGTAATTGCAACTCTGTGAGGGGTAAACTACAGCACCCAGAATTCTTTGAGGGAAAGGCTATGCTTCAAGTATGCTTTAAAGGTACAATGTGTACATAGCCTTAGTCCAACAATATCTGGAGAGCACTAGATTGGGGAAAACTAGTCTCTTCTGACAGACTACAGGGCTCCCATGATCCCTCACAACAGTCTTTGCCAGCCCTGCTGTCTAAAGGGCTTTGAAATGGGGGGGGGGGGTTTCCAAGGATCAAATACACAAAATAAGTGTTTTGCCACCAAGCTCTAACACGCCTCCTGCTTTACATTATGATTTGCTCTGAGCCATTCTGAGCAGTTAGAATGCTTCCTGAAATCAGGAATACATCTTGGTAAGGGCTATAAGTCAGTAGCAAAGCATACGTTTTGCTTGTGAAAAATCTCAGGCCACGGCATCCCTGGGTAGGGCTCAGAAAGACTCCTGCAGGTCATCCTGCTGCAAGTCAGGGTGGGCAACAGGGGTGGACGGGGTGGGCAACTCTGAGCTGGATGAACCAGTGATTCAACTAGGTGTAAAAAGGGGGTAGGGAACTCATGCCTGCTATTCAATCCCCACATTCATCTTCATCTGCAGTGCACACAGGTGAGAAGCTAGAGCAGGATGAAAGCAGGACACAGTTTGCGTTACAGGTGGGGACAGGTGAATCTGTTAAACCTGCATTTGTTTTGTTGTTGTTGTTTAGTCGTTTAGTCGTGTCCGACTCTTCGTGAGCCCGTGGACCAGAGCACACCAGGCACTCCTGTCTTCCACTGCCTCCCGCAGTTTGGTCAAACTCATGCTGGTAACTTCAAGAACACTGTCCAATCATCTCGTCCTCTGTCGTCCCCTTCTCCTTGTGCCCTCCATCTTTCCCAACATCAGGGTCTTTTCCAGGGAGTCTTCTCTTTTCATGAGGTGGCCAAAGTATTGGAGCTTCAGCTTCAGGATCTGTCCTTCCAGTGAGCACTCAGGGCTGATTTCCTTAAGAATGGAGAGGTTTGATCTTCTTGTCCATGGGACTCTCAAGAGTCTCCTCCAGCACCATAATTCAAAAGCACCTAGCAGAAAATCCCATTGAAGTCAGTGGGGCTTACTTCTGAGTTAGGGATCAGTGTAAATGTCTCTCTTAAGTTTCCCATTTTTCCAGTCTTTTACGTTCTGTTCTCTACATTTCTGCATCAGTTTGCATTTAAAAACCAAGCCAAAACAAAGCCCTCAACAAAATTCATCCGTATTTCAGTATGGTTTTTCCTAGCATACACATCTGTATGCAGTTTTTCCTATATACACACTTTTGTCAAGCAATTTCCCCTAATATAATGCAGTTTTGTATGCTATTTTCACTAATATATGCATTTTTATGAACACTTTGCTTCAGCATATGCATTTTTTGCACACATTTCTTGGCTGGAGAACTGCACTGCAAAATTCAAAGAAGTACAAACTCCAAAGGCTGGCTGTGTTTCATTTTTCAGGTTGTTTCAGAAAGTGCAGTTCAGGTATACTTGTGTTTAAATGCAAACTGAATCTAATTTCTTCCCTCATCCCTAGAGCTGGATAGCTAATCTGTTTTAGGTCATCGAATCTGACCTCTGGAAAGTGTTTGTCTGTAGCTGTGTCATTAGAATCTGGCTTCTTTTACAGTCCTGTGCAAGAACTAATATTGCTAATGCTGCTCAGTGACTGGGCACTTGGAAATAAAAATGGAGAGGCCTTTTAATTGCCCTTACTTTATGCTGCTGCTGATTGACCATGTGATGGCTAAATCCCTTTCTTCCCAAGCTAAAGTGGCCTCATATGAAAAAAGTGACTTAAAAGATTTGCTCTGGTGCATTTCCTAAAACAGGAATGTTAGTTCTAGCCACAGACTCCGGTGGCCCCTTTGACAGATTTATCATTCATCTTCAAAAGCTACTCCCATGTGTGTGATCTCGCCAGGCAGCGGAGAAGCGAGGGTGTTTATCATTTTAAAAGATTTAATGAGCAGGAGTGAAAAGCGTTCAGCTTTGCTAACAAATAATTTCATTTACGGGCTGCACCGGTGGTGGCAAACAATCCGGATTTTAAAGCTATAATTGACTTTCTATTATAAGCTTCTCGCTAATACACACAGAGAGAGGTGTACCCACAGTACACTTGCACTACCTTCAACTTCCATGAGAGTCATTGCTTTTCAAAGGCTGAATTGCTGCCTAGCTCACATTGGTTTTTAATGGCAATGAAGTTCCGTTTTTGCCTTTGGAAATTTCTCCCTGAGGAGCAGGAGGCTGGCGTTTTAATCCTCAGACCGCCTATTCCAGTGTTTCACTGATACAAACAAACTCCATTTGTTCCAGGAAGTTTGAACTCACATAGAATGCAGAACTTCTGTGTAAACATACAATGGATCAAGCTGCATGTTAGCCAAGTGTGTAAAGGTTACAGGCAACTTCCCCCCTCAACACACAAACACACACACACACACACACACACACACACACACACACTACATACTACATGTTTGCACAGAAACTCTCCCTTGCACCCAAACCTAGCACAAGAGAAAAATCACTGAGAGAGTATGAAGCAGGGACAGCGGAACCTGTTGACCACCAGATGTTGATGAACCAGGCTACCCATCAACCCATGCTGGCTCAGACTGATGGGAGTCCAACAACATCTGGAGGGCAAGAGGTTCTCCAACTCTGGTTTAAAGTATCCACCTCTGGTGCAGACTGAAGAATCATGCTGGCCCTGTGATAGCTCAGTCGGTAGGGCATGAGACTCTTAATCCCAGGGTCAATGTGGGTCATTGCCCCGCACTGGGCAAAATATTCCTGCATTGCAGGAGGTTGGACTAGATCATCATCATGGTCCTTTCCAACTCTTCAGTTCTGTTTCCATGCCACCTACCACATCCCAACATAGGCTGTGCATGGATTTCAAGCAAACATTCCGGCATACCAATGAATACTGCCTCTGTGTCTATGTGGAAATATATCCTAAGATTTCTGAGACCCCTTTGCTTCTTTGTGTCAAGCACACAAACTTTAATCAGTCAATTAACCTGCCATTTGATGCTATGTGAATTTACTTAGGCCAAAGTCCCCTGAGTCTGATGGGTCTTAGGAAGCAACCTGAATCTTTAATTACAACTTAAAATTTTAATATCTGCAACTGATAACAATAAAAGACTCTGAGATTTGGAAGTCATAAAGGGACTCTCACTGCACAGGCTGAGTAGTTAAGTTGGTCCCTTCTTTCCTGCACCAAAAGTGATTAAGTTGAAGATTACTTTTTCTTCTTCTTCCACATGGTTACCTTCCAGAATAAAAGCACCAAGGCTTGCTTAGAAAAGTCTAGATAACACTGAAGCAGATGGTGCTCAGTTGAAGCCAATGTCAATGCATTTTTTGTATCTTCCGCTGGCTGCGAAAAATTATTTTAATTCATTGTGGTATGTTACTATAATGGGGATTTGATCCATACTCCCAAAATTAATTAAATGTTATCATTTAGTACCTTATTTTGTCTATTCGGTTTGTATCTTGGAGGTCCACTTTCCTTCCTTCCTTCTTTCTCGTTTGGTTTTTTACCCTCCCTTCACCACAAGATCCGAGGGCAGGTTTCAGCAGTTTTAAAATAGAATATTAAAATCTGTTATATTACTTTTAGGATTTATTTATTGAGTTATATTTGAAATGTCAAAAATTCCAGCGTAAAGTCATATGTATGTAGCATGTAATGGAAACTATATCATGATGCTGCCATGTGCTCATCTGTGACAATTATTCCTTCTTTAACCTAAATTGGTCTTCCATCTCTCTCTGTTGATATATTCATAACAGCTATCAAACCATCTCTCATGCTTCCTGTTTCCAAGTTTCACAGGAATATCTCTTGGTTTAATCCACACTCATATGTTCTGCATTCTTATAATAATTCTAGTTGTTGATTGAATCAACTCCAAAGGCTCTTGGGAAGCCATAGTCCTTTTTATGATCTTGTGAGAGCTGATGTCCTTATTGTGGAAACCTCTTCCTGATTCAGTGCAGAATCTCTGCGTGGTTAATCTGGAGATGTATAAATGCATCACAAGCAAATCAGAATGAATCCTCAGTGAAGACCAGACATAGTCTAACATCTGCATAAGCTTTGTGAAAGGAAATCAGGATGAGTGTGCAAGAAAAGGAAGTCTGGGGGAGCCCTTAAACTTAATAAGAAATGAGGAAATCACCTTACTGGGCTTGCAAAAGAAAGCTGTAATATATGTTAATACATGAAATGCATGATGGCTAGTAATAACTGAATTTGCAGACTGCTCCCAAGGAAGATTCTGGGTTCTTTGAAAGTAGTCTTTGGCAAATAGGTGTCCTTTTTCATACGGTTATGCCACTTTAAGAGACAGGAAAAGAGCATGCAAATTCTGCAAGTGTCAATAAAATCATTTAATGCTACAGTAGCTATTAGGAGTCTCATTAAAATGCAATTTAGTGACAAACCAAGATATGTAATGCTACAGTGACATCATCAAAGGAACGCAAATCCAGATAAAGTCAGGTTTCTAAATTTGATTTCTGTGCTTTGAAATAAATCTTCAGAGCCTCAATTACTTTATCTGTTTTAAAGCAATTACAATCAGCTTCCATCATTTTCCTTTTTACACATTTAAATTGAGTTATTAATTCTTCATTTAAATGTTAGGATAAGAGGCTTTACCGACTTACTCCTCCTTCCTCTTGCTTCAGTATTTTATTTTTTTAAGAAAAAGAATCAAAAAGATCTATGAAAGCAGTACTTGCCTTCTCTTTTAAGCAGGTTTCTAGGTGGTTGTATAATCAAGCACAGCAGCTGCGAGACAGATTAACAGATTCCTAGTGGTCATTACTGCATGGAAATTTAATCTGGGGAGTTCATTTAAAATTTTGTCTACATGACATTATCCTGGGTTTTTTAAAAAAAGAAAGTAGGAAGACAACTTGATATATCAGTTTCTAATTTCCCTTGAACCTGAGGGCAGTGCAAACATAGCCCACATCTCCTATTTAATTGAAAAATTGATTTCTATAGATCATGCACGTTTAGTCAACATGTTCAGAATTTGCTTCCATTCCCAGTAGCTTCTTCTTGGAATAATACTGCTCATCTGAGTATCTTAAAAGGACAGGCAGCTGAATAAATTTATCCCATCTCAGTCCTGCAACTGTCGAAGAATACATGAATAGGCCCTGCCCCTCCTCCTGGGTCAATCAGGATTTACCCCTTATGAAGGCACTCTCCATCTATAAGCATGAGAACCCCTTTATGCGGTTACCATATGGTCTGTGCACATGGGCGCATGGGGGGGAGGGGCGTGTGAGGTTATGCAATGCAACCCCCTCACGTTGAAGTGAAAGGGCGAGGAAGATTGTGTATACATCCCTATCATGTATGAGATGAAACAGGTAAGGAAAGGCACATTTATTGCATGAAGGATCTTTTCATTACTTTTTACTGTCCCCCTGGGCTGGCGGAATGCAGAGGAGTGGTGGGGGGCATCAGTTGGGGAACCCCCAAGGGAACCCCCAGGGGAAGAAGGCTCAGAGCATGGGAATAGTGGTGGTGGGATGACGATGAGTGGTGGGAGAAGAGGGAGCAGACTGGGGGGAGGAGGAGGTGCCGGAAGCTGAAGAGGTAACAGGGTTTAGTGAGCAGGAAGACTCTGTGGAAGAGAGCAGCCCAGAATCAGAGGTAGAAGTGGAGGCTAGAGAGGAGGGGTCCAGGAGACAGAGGGGAGGCAGATTCCTGAAGATGATGATGATGAAGAATCCATTGGGTGCATTCCAAGAGAATGAAAGCTGGCCGTGCTACAAGGCAGCACGGTTGAAAATTGGACGTCCCACCCATGCACCCTGGGAAGAAGAAGAAGAAGAAGAATTAACCCTGCACCCGCTGGCTCTGAGCAATGCATGTGTATGGCCTTGCTGTGGAATTAATTAGTCGCTATATTCGGGTCCAGGGAGGAATTTGCCTACACACAATTTGGACCAGTCTGGGAATTTTTCCTTCCTCGTAGCAACTGTCACACTTTTGGTGGAAAAGGCACTGGGTTGGATCCTTAGTCTATGCTTGCACGGTTGTGTGCCCCAACCTCTGATCCAGGATCAAATGCAGGTCACCCCAGTAAAGGAGTCTAGGGGTTGGGTTCTGTCTGAAAGCCCAGATGGGGGCAAGGGGCCATAGAACACCCCAAGTGGCGACCTGACAGCATTGCCCTATAGATCTGTGTCATGGGGGGATCCTTTACCCTATGATCAATCCTGATGGAGTATGAGCCTGCAATAAAATGGCATCTTGTCTTTCTTTGCCGCACCTACGCCTCCCTGGTGGCCTCTGGCCTGCTGTGCACGGGCCCTCCAACAACTATAAGTTAGGGCCAGTAATTCATGTTTCGGTGAGAACTGCAACAACCATAGGAGCTTTGGTTTCTGGGCAAAGTTGGATAATTTATGAAAGATGTTACTTTACTTTTCAGCAGTTTAGATGACTAGGTCTAACTAATCACCATATTGAAGGTCAAGAGGCTCCTTCAGACAGCTTGGCTGCCCGTCTATAGCAAGAAACAAGGAAGGGGCTATATTTGCTTCCACCATTTAGACACTCTAGCACCTTTGACACTGTGCACCTGCTGTCTTGTATGCTCTCGCTCCCTGCTTGTGGCACGCTACCATTTGGATGGCATAGATTAATCTAAGGCAGGTAGTGGGAAGTGATGTGTGGAAGACAGGGCAAGGGTGTGAGGTACATAACCTTCAGTCTCCTTGCAGTTTCTTTGTTGCTTTTGTCTGTTCAATATTTAACTAAATGATATCATGAAAATGAAAGAAAAATTGCAGACAGAGATGCCGCCTGGCATGTGCATGCATGTTACTCAACAAGAAATAACAAAGGGGAGAAGAGTGGCGGGAAACCCTGACAAATTATATTCATTTTCATGGTGCTTTGTTGAGCAACAGAAGAAGAAAAAATTACCATGAGAATAATTAGGGATTTCCAGCTGCGCGTTCTGGAATGGCACACATGATAAATGGTAAATCCTCAAACGCTCTTGAGAGCCAGCAAGGCACAAAATGGAAGGCACAAGTCCCAGAACTGGATGCTGAAAATCAAGGCTGGCTCTAGCTTTCCAGTAGGCCCTTGGGAGACTCCCCAGCAGGGACATTTTGCCACAGAGACTGAAAGCAGTTGCAGTGGCAGAGCTCTGGGTGGCCTCCAGATGGCTTTCTTCCACCTCACCCCACCCCTGAACCTTTTGCTGTTGGTGCTTATGGTGCAAAGTGCAGCACCGACAGGAGGGCTGCACAAGAGGACACATGGTTCTATTTGATAGCGCCCATAGATGACAGAGAGAAGAGATGAAAGGGAAACACAGAACATCAGGCTCAACAAATTATACCTTGTTCCTTTATAGTTATCTTTTTGCGGAAAGACTGTAGCTCGGTGGCAGAACATCTGTTTCACATATACAAGGTCCTAGGTTCAATCCTTGGCATTTCCTGATAGGTCTAGGAATGTTCATTCCAAAATCTTGCAGTGCTTCTGTCAATCTCTGAAGGGACAATAGTGACCTAGATGGACTAATGGTCTGACTCAGGGCTTATCTACACGTACCCTTTGCCCTGCTCTTTCCAGACAATGGTCTGTACTTCAGTGCTCCATTTCCGAGCATTTGGGGGGGGGGGTTTCCGGCCCTGAGCTTTCCCTGCGAAAACCCACTCTTTAAAACTGAATCAAAGCAAACGTCAATTTGGGTTTTCCATGAATTGGTGTTTGCTCCAATTGAGCTTTAAAGAACGGGTTTTTGCAGGGGAAATTCCAGAGCAAAAAAAGGGGGACACTCAGATACAGAGCTTTTAAAATCATGGAGCACGCCTGGAAAGAGCAGAGGAAAGGTAAGTATGGATAAGCCCTCAGTATAAGGGCTTATCCTAAGTTTATATATATATATAAAAACACATGCACAACGTCCTGCAGGATTTATTTCTTGGAAAGAAGCTGTGTGAAACCTCACAGGAAACAGGCTTTCCTGCCAAAAGAGATAAAAAAAACATTATAATCATACACTAAAACCGAAAGGCTTATCAAGGAATAGATACAAATAGATGAAGATCTAAGTCTCTGTCATTGCTTTTGAAGGAAAAATACCCCTGAGGTATCTCAGGCACAGCATTCTGTGTGACATTTAATCTGCTTCTTTAAAAAGCGGAAAAAAACAAAACAAAACCCACAAACAAATAGAATTTGTAGCATGCAAACTAAATGGGGAGGGGGGAAGAGTTTGCAGGTGCGAGCAAGCATGAAATGAAATTCTACTAATGAGTTTCCATTTAGGAGCTAAATACATAATCAAATCATTTTTTTTACCTGATGCACAGAAGCGAGAAAATCAATTTATTCATCATAAGTGTTACTTTGTGTATTGATGTTCTCTGTGTGTCTAAAACCGGCTACACTGAGTGAACACTTCGGTTTCAGTTATGCTTATACGCTGATGTTAGCTGAATAATTTTCTTAGAAACAAGCTGTGATTATTCCTGGACGGATATATATATATATACACACATCATCATTTATCTATATGCTGAAATACGTTGCTTTATAAATAAATACACTAAATGCCCAAAGCTTAGTTGTTGGAGGTATCAATGATATCCTACTTCCAATGCTCCTGGGTCTTTTCTGTAAATACAACAATAATGTAGCTTACCCTGTTAGAGATCATTTCTGCACTGCACAGAAGATATCAACAACTGGATGCTGGCAGCATACCTCTGTTATGGTCATGTCCCCAAGCATTGCATTTCTGGCAAGCAATATATGACAATAAAAGATTGTTGGGTTGAAATCACGACAGACGAATGGTGGGTGTCAAAGGAGAGGCGTCTGCCCGGGGCAAGTCCCGGGGACTCTCTTTTATTGAATATTACAAACATTGCCACAGGTGTGCTTGTGGCTGATTGGCTGATACAAACACAAAGCATCTTGTTGCTGATTGGTTAACATAGGTACAAGGCGGGCATTACATTTTACATTAATCAGTGATAGTTCAAAAGACTGGGAGCGGAGCTGGAACTAGACAGGCATGAATCCTCCTAATTAAATTGTAACTAAGATTAATATAACATGACTAAAACAATTACTAATGATTGATCATAAGTGAAAGGTCCGTATATGTGGTCAGCTATGCATTGAGAACAGAGCATGTTGTTTTTTGTACGTGAACTCAGAATGAACTGAAGAATTGAGGGAATGTCTTGGGTGTCCTGAGCTTGGTGTGTTTGGAACAGTATGTGCAGAGCAGAAGGAGACTTCCCAGAATCCAAGAGGAAAGAAGCAAGAGTTTTCATAGTAAGCATAGAAAGATTGCATAGTAAGAGTTCCCATAATGCCACAGTTATGTGCAGTAAGAGAACTGCAGAAAGAGAACTTCCCTTCAAAAGATATAACTGGGTGTGACATCCCCATGACACCAAAAAGAATTCTCTTATGCGATTTAAAATGATTTTTATTTTTTTTTAGTGGAAAGGATTTGGAATCTTTTTGTAAGCTACTGGCAGATTGATATGTTGGGCGCTCTCACATGGTGCTGATCATAGAATCAGAGAATTTTATAGCTGGAAGGGAACATGAGTATGTGCTGGGCCCGGAGGTAACCCTTGAAACACGGTCCAGGACCGGTCCAGAATCCGGAGGTTCCGCTAGGAGTCAGTCCAACCGGGCCAAGGCAGTATACGAGGCAGAAAACCAGGCAAGGACAAGTATAGGATCTCAGACAGGATCTGGCATACAGCAATGTTGCTCCTGCAACCTGGGGCGGGGTCCGTGAGCCTTTTATCTTTGTCGGGGTAACGGCCGGTCCTGATCCCCCAGCCACTCACCTCCCTGTTTTGCCCGAAGGCAAGCACTCCTCCTGCAGGTACTCAGGTCTCTCCTTCTCTCAGACCTTAGGCTCTGCAGCTCAGGAGACGTTGGTGGGATACTAGACCCAGGGGCTGCCTCAGCCTCCCCTGACCCAACCGGTAGTGGAGCAGCTGTAAGTGATGGCCCAGCTGAAGGCAACGAGGTAATCCCCGCATCTGGAGCCAGGGCAGGCCCAGGACCCTGACTCGGCCCAGCTGGTGCTTGTTGCAGGGGAACTTGTGCAGACTGGGACTCTTCAGAATCAGGCCCTAGACTTGGTTCAGATGATGCCTGAGGCAAAGGATCGGGTGCAGACTGAGACTCCTCTGGTTCTGAGTCTGAGCCCAAGTCCCAGGCCATCACTGAGTGTTATCTAGTCCAACTCCCTGCATTACAGGAATCTCAGCTAAAGCATCCATGGCAGATGGCCATCCAACCTCTGCTTAAAAACCTCCAAGGAAAGAGAATCCACAATCTCCCAAGGGAATCTGTTCCACTGTTGAACAGCTCTTACTGTCAGAAAGTTCTTTCAGATGTTTAGTTGGAATCTCCTTTCTTGTAACTTGAACCCATTGGTTCAAATCCTACCTTCCACAGTCATATATTCCTGTTTTGCACATAGTTTCCACATGATGTCATCCTCATGAAAACACTCTTCAGTATCATATGCCCCTTTCATCCGATTTACTATTGCCATGGAAAATCCAGTGTTAAAAAACAACTTTTTAAAAACCCTAACAAACAGTGAAAACGGTAATGTCCTGGGTCTCACTGGAATAAGGACTCAGAGAGTACAGTATGATACATAGACAAAGGAAGGATCAAAGGTGCAGCAGGAGCTACCCATGTTGACCTAACAATGTTGACCTAACAAGCAACACGTTTGCTTGTGTCCTTTTATATAGGAGTGGGGTGGGCACAACTTCAGTTTGGCAGACAGGCAGGTTAATGGGAACTCCTTCTGGAGGGTTTGACCTGAGCCATCTGTTCATGTGCTGGTGTCTCCATGACCTAGGCAAGAGTGGCTGCTTTGTACCAGACTGAGTCCCCAACTCCTCTTGGGAGAATGGACTGGGTGGGCTCAGCTGGAGGGGTAGAAGGGTTGCTGAGATCAGAGATGGAGCTAGCACAGACATCTAGGGTGCAACAGGTGCAGCAAAGTCTATGCTTTGGATGTAGAAGTTTACAGGTTCACTGTCTGGTTTCTCTACTAAAATGTTCTCTGGTAGTGGAAATCGGAAATACGTCTGCCTGAAACTTTGGTGCTCCACTGATAGCCAGTAGTAAGGTGGGTAAGGTGGCCAGTAGTCATCCTAGCCATGCCTACTCAATCCTATATGTGTCTACCTGGAAGTAAATTCTATTGAGGCCAGTGGGGCTCACAACCAGGTAAATGGAAGGATTTTTTTTTGTATTTCTTTTATGCACTCTTGCTGAAACATTGTTTTAAGTGTCAAAAATTTGATAGAGAATTTATTTTTGAAGGGTTGCACAAGGGGTTGTACACTGCTGTCAGAAAGGGGAGAAAACATTAAAATTGATTTATTGATTAATGAAAGCAACTATTGTTTTTTGTTTTTGCAGAAATATTCATATGTGAACTGATGCAGATTTAATAGCTTAATGAATTGATAAATCAATTCATTAATTTATGGATATAGTGCTAAAACCCATACTACAGACTGGTTTAGAGATTTCTTTGACTGGGTGACATCCTCACAAAGGTTAAAATTGTCTAGCACTGGTTTCTACTGATAAATTTTCCATAGGACTATGATAAGCCTCTGCCCCCCGCTCCAAATCCTGTACTGTGATCTGATGGGGTAGGAACCTAAACCCCTTTTACACCCTCTTCATTGGCCTAAAGTCGTGCAGGTATTTTAGGCTAGGATACAAGAAGGTATCTTGAAACTGATAGTGGGTATGACAACTATTATGTAGCTCATTGAGATGGAAAGAAGTGATTTAGCGCTGCGTAGGTCTTTGTCATAGGTGATGAATGCATCTAGTCATGAAGGGCAAAGAAAATGAGAGAAATCCAGAGGCTACAAGACAAAAGGCACTTCTTGGGAAAGATGACACAGACGGTAAGCAGCTGGCAAAAAGCTTTTCATTCACAAAAAAATGAAGGGAACTTAGGGTCCATTTTTACAAATGTGGAGAGTGTTGGTTTTTTATTAATAGACCTGTAGGGAGGCAGACAGGTACTATATAACAGAAGTCTCTGACCTTCAGGGGCAATAGGCACATTTGAGATTTTGAGAGTGTGTTATGTGTCCAGTTACAAAATGACTGTGATCGTGAGTGTGGCCAATCATAAAAATTATCCCATTTCACAGAAGGCAAACTGCTGAGAGACTGGTAACTTGCCCCCAAAGCCTGAGTAGAATTTGACCTCAAAAGACAAAACTATTCATTTGAACCTAGTTTTCTGTTGCAACAGAACACCCATTTCACCAGAGGTAAATATTATTTCTTTAGAAAGAGTGAGGTTTTTTCAAGAGAAGAAAACCACACAAGAAAACCTGAAGAATGAACTGAACTTTCAATTCCTGACCTCAACCTCATTATCACTCGTCCATCCATATGTGATATCAT